TCTATCTATCTATCTATCTATCTATCTATCTATCTATCTATCTATCTATCTATCTATCTATCTATCTATCTATCTATCTAATTAGAACATGTTTGCATGGCTTCCTCAGGAGAAATACAGGTAGTGACATTTGTTGGGGGACCATTAGCAGAGGTGGGTTCCTACCAGTTCGGACTGGTTTGGCCGAACCAATTCAATTGGTAGTGGTGAAGGCACTGCCATCTTGTTTTTTGCTATGCGCATGCATAGAAGCATTTTTTATTTCTGTGCATGTGTGTGTAGTGCGCATCAAGAATGCGCACACCAAGCGGGTCCTTGAGCAAACTGGCAGTAAAAGAATCCGGAACCCACCCCTGGAAAAAAGTGACTTATGACTGGTCTTCACACTTACAACTGTTGTAACATCCTCATGGTCACGTGATCAAAATTCAGATGCTTTCCCATTGGAAAGTATTTGTGACAGTTGTTGTGTCCCGGGATCAAGTGATCCCATTTTGCAACTTTCTGAGAAGCAAAGGCAATGGTGAAGCCAGCTTCATCCGATAACCGTGTTGTAGTCATTCACAAAATCAAACTCAACAAATGTTTTCCTTATCGATGGAAATTTTGGGCTACTTGTATTCATTTTCATTTCACAATAATATCACAAAGATCAAAGTTTCATCCAGGTTGGCATTAACGTTCCCACAATGGCTAACCAGATGCCAGGAGAAAAACTGGTTTGAAGAACAGACGCATTCTAATTTTTTGTTTCACCACCCCAGAGGTGGTATTCAGCCGGTTCAGACCGGTTCAGGCGAACCAGTAGCATAAATTGTGAGTAATTCAGAGAACCAGTAAAAAGCAGCTCTGACTGGCCCCGCCCTCCTGCCCGTCGTTCTTATATTCCCTATGTTCCTTTGTTTTTTTAGCTGATTCATATGGCAGAGCGGATTGCTGCACCTCAGCTGAGCTAAAAAAACAGCTTAGCTCACCAGCACTGACACCAGGGGTGAGTTCTGGCTTTTGTTACTGCCAGTTCGTTCAGGGATACGTGTGCATGCGCAATAGTAAAAAAATTGATTCTGCGTGTGCGCAGAAGCAAAAAACACCACCTGTGGCGCCTCCAATAGAACCGGTTTGGGGGCGTGGCCCAAGTTACTACCAACTCGCCAAACCGAGCCAAACCATTAGGAACCCACCTCTGCCTGACACCAAGTGCGGTCTTTGAGTGCTGCGCGTGCGTGCAAAGCACTCTCTCATAGAACTGCTAGGAAAACATTTGGAATCCCACCGCTACACCACACCCGCTAGAGGAAGGAACAAAAAACACCCAACAACCATTGGATCAGAATTCATTGACTGATCTGACTTCTCCATAGCTCCAGTGTGCTATGAGATTGGGACATAACTGGTTGCTTGCTTGCTTCTCCATTTCATTCATTGCAGCTGACCATTATTCTTTTTTCTTTTTTTTGCTCTTAAATCATTTTCTGCACATAACAAAAATCTCCACTCTACCCCATTATGCGGTCCCAGTGAGTCATAAGAAGCTTCCTTGGGAAGACACTGCTGAGCAACTGGTCAGTAGTTCATGAGATATTTGGAAGGTTATTTGAGAAACTCATTATGGTGAGAAGGATAAATATAGTTCTGGAGAAATGAAAGCCTTTGCTTGTTTTCGGCCTTTCTGATGATACTTAATGAGCAGCTTTTTTAATTGGGTGGCTTTCCTGATGCTGGTGGGGCAAAGAGCTTATGAAATAAAGAACAATGGAAATGGAAAGAGACCCCCCCCCTCTCTCTCCTTCCTTCCCTCCCTTCCTCTCTCTCTTTTCTTTTAAACTACTCTTGACTCCTGGAAACACGTTGAACTACTTCTACTCCCTGCAGTTTTCTTGGCAAAGTTTTTGGGAAGTAGTTGGCCATTGCCTGTTTCCCAGGGCTGAGAGAGAGGGACTGGCCCAAACTCACCCAAATAAATATTACTTATTTAGCCTTCAATGCATAGCCCTCTTTTAATGTGGAATAGCAGAGTTGGAAGAGACCTTGGAAGTCATATGGTCCAACCTCCTGCTCAGGTAGGAAACCCTATAAACAATTTCATCTCTTAAAAACCTCCAGTATTGGAGCATCCACAATTTCTGGAGGCAAGCAGTTCCACTGGTTAATTGGATACTGAGAATGGCACACATAGCCATTAGGTAGCTAGTGGAGAAGGTGACACTCTATTTCCTTTCTGTGCACTTTTTGCTTCCACTCTCTCCACCAGTGGGGTTGCAGGCGGTACGCCCCATTATGGCCGTTCTGATGCCTGCCCGGAGCACCAGGTACCATTCCGGTACTGTGCTTCGGAGGGCCTGCCTGCCCGCCCATCATCCTTACATGTATTTGAACACTACGGCGCTTCCATGTACACACACAGCGCATACGGTGCCTGCATGACGCTCCACCGAGCAGCTGGAGCATCGCGGAGGCTCGGGGAGGCATTGCTGGAGAGTAGGATGCATGCCCGCGCTGCATACGTTCATATGGTGGATACCGGGACCCATTGTACCGTACCGGTTGTAATGGGATCCGGAACCCACCACTGCTCTCCACCCTGGTTAATTTAATTTTAAATGTATGATCCTTATTTATTGTGTTATCATGTTTCACCGTGAATTTTAATTGAAAGTCTGTAGGCTGCCTAGGGTCGTCCCTGGCAAGATGGGCAGCACAGAAGCTTAATAAATAAAGATAAATAACACAACAGTCTTAGAGTTTATTAATTTGGTTTTCAAAGGGCATTTGAAGGTCCCTACCTTTCGCGGAGCATGTTTCTCAGACCCATCCATGTCCCCATCCAGGAACGGCATGGCAAAGGAACTGAGATCCTAAAACAAACAGAAGTTTAGAAAATTTCATTGAAGCTTGAAAAGCAAACACTCCCTGTAATTCACAAATATCCTTAAGCCCACCAAGCTATTTGAGCAGATAAGCCCTGCTCCAAGGTAAGTTTATTTGAATGATATCAAAGCAACAACGAGACTCATTAAAGGACGTGGCAACACGGGATAGATGGGTACAAGGCTGGCCTAGGTCAGTGATGGCGAACCTTTTAGGCAACGCGTGCCCAAACTGCAATGCATGGGCGCAGGCATGTGTGCGCCCTGCGCATGCACTGCAGAGACCCCAAAATCAGCTGGTTGGCAGGAGGCATGCGCGCATGCACGGCAGAGAGGCCCAAAACAGAGCTTGGAAAAGAGCACATCTGTCCACAGAGAGGACTCTGTGTGCCACCTCTGCCACGTGTGCCATAGATTCACCACCACTGGCCTCGGTGGTTGCTCCAATACCCAAGATAGACGTTACAAGAGGTGATTGGAGCTCCGGCCATTTTGTTTTATGTGTGACGGACATAAAAGATAGGTAACGGCCTTTGGGGATACTATCTTGGTTGCCACCTTGACGTTTTGGACCACACCCTGCTAGCTACCCCATATCAAGTGTTTTGGGATCACAGGTTTTATCAGTTTCAACTGGCCAGCCATCAAGGATGATAGAAAGTTGGTTCAACCAGGGAAGGACAGAACAATGGCTCCAAACTAGAAGCTATGCTGTATCAATAACTGATATAAACAAACAGTAGTAACTGAGTGTACATTCTGGGCATGGTTACTCAGGTGTCCCATTGAGTCCAACAAGGCTTATTCAAAGATAAGTGAAGATCCTGGATCATGTGGCCTTGCGCACAACCACTCATGCCCTGGTCATTTATCCGCTAGATTACTACAACACACTCCACATGGGGGTAGCATTGAAAACTATTTGGAAGCTGTTGTTGTGGTGAGTTGCGAAGTCATGTCCAACCCATTGCAATCCCATGGACAACGTTTCTCCAGGCCTTCCTGTCCTCTTCCATCCTCTGGAGTCCATTTAAGCTCATGTCGACTGCTTCGGTGACTCCATCCAGCCACTTCATTCTCTGTCGTCCCCTTCTTCTTTTGCCCTCCATCGTTCCCAGCATGAGGCTCTTCTCCAGTGAGTCCTTCCTCCTCATTAGATGGCCAAAGTATTTGAGTTTCCTCTTCAGGATCTGTCCTTATAAAGAGTAATCAGGGTTGATCTCATCTAGGACTGACCGGTTGGATGGCCCTGCAGTCCAAGGAACTCACATAAGTCTTCTCCAGCACCAGAGTTCAAAGGCCTCCATTCTTTGGTGCTCAGCTTTTCTTATGGTCAAGCTATTGTTGCCATGGTCCAATTCAAGATATTGGTCATTATCTTTAAAGCGCTTCATGGTATGGGAGTAGGGTATCTGAGGAGCCATCTCACTCCAATAGGATTGGCCCACCCAAACTGGTTCCTGCAAAAGAGGCTTGCTACAGGCTCTAAGTGTCAAGCAATTTTGACTGGCAGGATCCAGAGATGAGCTTTTTCCACCATGGACCCTGCCTTCTGGAATATTCTGCTGCTGGAGATGAACTCTGACCTCACACTTTTGGTCTCCCGAAAGGGCCTTAAACCCTGGCTTTGCTGGCTGATTTGGGGCCTTCACTAGAGGTGACTAATGGGGTGGAAAGAAGGCCTCAGCCTTGCTCAGACCTTTAGTTTTTAGCTCCTATTTAAGCATACCTATTTTTAATTGTTTTTATAATTATCTTTTTATCATTTTGTAAGCTGCCCGGAGTTACTTTAACAATGAGATTGATTGATAGATAGATATAGATAGCGATATAGATAGATAAGAGTGAGAGAGGATAGATAGATAGATAGATAGATAGATAGATAGATAGATAGATAGATAGATAGATAGATAGATAGATAGATAGATAGATAGATAGAAGTTAGGAGAGTGTGTGAGAGAGAGAATGAGAGAGAGAGAGAGAGAGGATAGATAGATAGATAGATAGATAGATAGATAGATAGATAGATAGATAGATAGATAGATAGATAGATAGATAGATAGATAGATAGAT